ATCGCAGCCATCTTCTTCACCTCTTCTCATACAAACTCCCGGCGGTCCGAAGACAAATGCCTAGTCTTCTGCTTGATCGGTTTAGCGGCAGGATCTACAGCCAACCGGTGACAAATGACAGTGCGGTCTATCCCAGGCATATCCTCGGGTCCCCATGCGAATATGTCGGCGAATTCTCGAAGGATCGCCAACACCTCCAATCGAAGCTCGGGGGTCAAAGCCCAACCGATCTTGACCTTGCGTTCAGACCTGTCTTTGGACAAAGGAACTTCTTCTATCTCTTCTGACGGTTCAGGTTGTTCTTTTCGGTCCTTAACGACATCTTTGGAAATCGTATTTACTCGAGATGAGCTTGCGTCTCGCCGATTGACCGCTCGAGTATAACACTTCCTTGCCGACTGGACATCACCGCACAAAACTCCAACCCCAGCCGGGGTCGGGAACTTCATGCAGAGGTGAGGCATAAATATAATTCCCCCGACCCTCATGATGGTCGGGCGACCTAGGATAGCATTGTGGACGCAATGAAGATTTACCACAACAAATTCCATCTGTGTTTTAATTGATTTGGGAGGAGTTCCCAACTCAACTGGGAGAACGATTTTTCCTTCGGGGTGAATGGTGTCCCAGGCAAATCCGGATAAGGGTGTTCCGACCGGAGTCAGCTCTCGTCGGTCGAGCTTTAGCTTCTCGAAAACGTCCAAGTAAAGGACATTCACGCTACTCCCGGTGTCGACCATCACTCTCTGCACGTCTACGCCCATGATGTCGATCGTGATGACCAGAGCCTCCATGCCGGTATCCCCACTCTCGGGTTCATCTTCAAGCGCAAAGGTGATCGGCTCCATTTTCTGCTGTTTGCCGGTCTCTCGGGATTCCACGATCGCGACTGGGCAGGGCTCTCGGGCCCGTGAAGCATCTTCTAAGCCCCCAAATATGACATGGATGGTCGGCTTAGATGCTTGACGATCACCAGACTTAGGATCGGGATCTCTCTGATCCTGGTCCGGTCGAGTAGAGCGTCCAGAGCGCCGATGGTCTCTTCTATCTCCCGATCTTTTATTTTCCTCTCTCTCTTTCCTACACACTTATCCAACTTTCCGGCTTGAAGGAGATCTTCTAGCAATTGTCTTAGAGTTGTGCATTCTTCGGTATCATGCCCAGCACATCGGTGATAAGCACAATGTTTCTCCTTGTCTCTTCCGTCTTGTCCGAGTTGTGGTAAACGAATGAGGTTACACGACTGGGCATACTGCATAGCTTCCGCGCCAACCGATTCAACGCCGTAAAATCCCTCGGGCGAGTTCGTGATCGGGGGTGTTCTTCTGCTGACCGACTGTCTGGTCGACCAGAGGGTTTTCGGGATGACCCGACCTCCTGAGACCGCTTGACAGCATTGGCTTCTCCGACGTTGGCATAATCAGTCACTCGGCGAAGGGCTTCTTCATACATGGTCGGGGGATGGAGTATGAAATCTTGGTACAGATAGCCAGCTCTTAACGAAATATGGAGCATGTGGATCGCCGTTAGGTCATCCATAGGCTCGACTTCACCCACGGCCGTTTTCCATTTGACCAAAAAGTCGGTCAAAGATTCCCCCTCTAACTGCTTAGCCTTTTCCAAATACATGTAAGGCTTCCGGATGATTTTCGAGGTCACGAACTTCCGATTAAACTTGGTCGTTAGGTTGGCGAAACAAGAGATAGAACCCGGCTCCAGCGTTCTGAACCACTCGGCTGCCCGCCCAGATAGCGTCGAATAAAAAGCTCGACACATCACAGCATCACTCACGCCCATCATCAGCATATTCCCGTAATAAGTATTGATATGAACCTCCGGGACCGTCCGTCCGTCATACTCTTTGTTCCCGGGAATGCGTAGGTCGAGCGGGTAGGGTTGGGTCATGATCTCGGCTGTAAAAGGAGTCCGCAACAATGAAGCGATATGATCAGAAGAAGGCCTTAAAGCATGTTCATTTTGCCACCGGGTGAACTCTGCACGCAGGTCGTTCAACATTCTCCGGGTCTCATCTTGCTCTACAGTTCGGGCTGGTTCACGAGCCCGACGACGACGATGTGCCTGAGATCCACTGTGTCCGGACGATCCTGACTGACTGGCCGCTCGCATAGGGGAATCAACCGATCGCCTCTCTGGATCTTGCGGTCCCAATCTCTGGCGCATTGCCGGTCGAAGACGCTCAAATGCGCACGCTCGGTTATCTTGCGGCTCGGGCTCATCTTCCCCCTGAACGGGTACTTCCTGCCGTGGTTCCTCCATGACCCCCGCCCCCTGCGACCCCAACCTCGAGCGAGCCGAGCGCCTAGCCTGGGGACCAGGCTGAAACTCGGGCTCGGTCGGTATTGCTGGTTGGTTCAAGGGGGCAGAGACTGGAGCCGTGTACGCAGGCATATAGGGCGGATAGCTGCCGGGCGGATAATACATCGGGGTCCCGGGCCAACAACCATACTGGGGAGGTGGTACCGGATACGGGTAGTGTCCCGGATACAGGTATTGCTGACCGGGTGCTGGATATGTCGGTTAAATATAATTGATCGGGCTAGGAGCTGCTGATCGGGGAGGTGAGAGATTGAGGTTCAGGTCGACTGTCTGACCCAAATGCTGTGTGTAGTTGTGGTCGGAAGAGCTAGCTTCTTCGTCCTCCGCTTGATACATGAAAGGATACATAACGATTGAGGTAGGATACGCGTCTACAATCACTTTTTGTACCGGTCCCCACAGACGACGCCAAAATGATAGTACTAATACCCACGTGTGAGCGGCCTACGTACTATGTGAAATTGGATAATAATGATAAACGATTATTTTATATATAAGAAGGTGACCTAATTACAATCTAAATGGCTATCCCGAGGGCCGACTGACTGCGGTCGGGCAGCTCTGTAAATAGCTTATTGATCGTCTAAAAGTCCCCCTCACTGTAGCCGCCGCAGATATTTATAGCCGTTAGCCGGGAACAACTCTCCGGGCTACCGGCATGTAATCCATGTAGCCTCCACGTGCCCAAACCTGGTGAGCACTCCCTGTCAACGCCTATTGTCGCCACGTGCCCCTCTTCGTAGAGCAAAGGTACGGCGATCGGGCAGAACAGCGGTCGGGTCGGACCGTCCTCAAGCAAGGACGCAACATAAACGCACTCGGATGACCGGTACCGACCAGAAGCCTATAACGATGCTCGGGTCAAGGAGCTCACACGTAATCAGTACGGAGAACATTTTAGGGCGGTCGGGATATATCCTACCAATAACGGTGTCACTAACGGCACCGTTACCCGTGTCCACAATGCATGCTGGACACGGGTCCATAGCATAACGATTGTCTAGTGGATGAGAAGTTTTACTCAAGCCCGCATAGGTAGCTCAACTGCTCACATGACAATTTATATCCTGCACCAGAGCGCGCATTGCATTGTGCGCCCTGATGCAAAACGACGTCGTTTCAGCTTTTTTTTTTTTTTTTTTTTTTTTTTGAAATTTCGCTACCATGTGTTCGTTGTTAATTTTCTGTAAAAAAAAAAAAAAAAAAAAAAAAACTTATGTTTAAAAATGTACATAATTTTATACTAGAATACACATAATTGTATACATGAATGTACATAATTGTATAACAAAATACACATACTTTATTTTTAAAAGATAATACATATAATCTAACATAATACATAATATACATAAACTTTTAACATAATAAACATCAACTCTTAACATAATACATATAAATTTCATGTTTCGGATGTACATAATTGTATAAAAAAGATGTACATGATTGTATAAAAAAGATGTACATGATTGTATAAAAAATGTACATAATTGTATAAACAAATACACATAATTATATAAACAAATACACATAATTTATAAACAAATACACATAATCGCATCAACTCCCTACATAACTTACCAAAACGACGTCGTTTTGAGAGGCGTAGGGCGCACAGTGCTATGCGCGTCGTGGTGCAAGGTATAACGATTGCTGCTCACATTGGTGAAATTTCAAGACCGGATTTTAGGGTGTACAAAATGCCCAATAGCACATGGCCTCAATTTTTAAAGGGCTCAAATTTATTTTAACCTAGCTACTTAAGAAATAAAAAAAATCTGAAATTAATCCTGAAACTCCTTGAATTCACCAGATGATGTTTTTCCCTAACGACACAGATGATGTCTCAAGCCCTGAATTTCCTGAGATAACTTGAAACATGTACCATTCACCAGTTTACCATCAATACCGCCTGAGAAATTGATTCTTCCCCCTAATAGATTGTTCTACTTGCATTCCAAATGATAGCGGCAGCCTAGCAGGTAACCACTAACCAGGTAGTTTCAAGATGTTTTTGTTTTTGTTTTTTGTTTTTTTTTTTTTTTTTTTGTTTTGTTTTGTTTTTTTGTTTTTTAAAATTTTTCTGCTTGTTTGGACTTTGGAAATAGTAGGTGAGTAGGATTCTTATAGTTTTGTTTTAAAGATTGCGCTTATAATTTTGATATGGTCTCATTTGTTTACAAGAACGGGACCACAAAGGTATAACCTCTGCTGGTTAGTTAAGTCACAAAGATATAACTTCTGCTGGTTAGTTGAGTCACCCTGATTTATCTATTCATAAACTATTGGGGTGTCTGAGATAGGCAATTCCATCTTTTTATCACAAGTAGTCGTACTTAGGATTTGTTTTTACTAGTAGGGTGGAAGTTCGTTTTCCGTCACAAACATTGAGGATTAGAATTTAGGTTGGACTTTTTTTGCGTAGAACTGTAGAAGTGGAGCTGGAAATCTAGGTTGAATAAATAAACAATATATTGTAGAGTCCTTTTTTAAGTAGGCTCTTGCACATGTCAAAGTATAATGTGCCAATTCTGTTACGTAATAACACAGAGGTAACCATTTATGTCATCACATTTAATCATCAATTGAACATAGCTATCAAAATTGTTCCATATTTCAACGTCGCCATCTAATATTGGTAAACAATCAAAACAAATACTCAGCGAGTAAAATAAAGTGGCTGGTTTTATAGCTAGGCTTAGCTGTGATTAAAGCGTGAATTTTAAGGTGTTAAAAGACCAATTCCTTCGTCACTTTTTCAAGTATTGAATGAAGTGTTGGAAAAAATAACATAAATTGACATAAAATAGTATTTTAAGTAGCTATTTTGTAGTACAAATATCAGTGGGAAACCTAGGCTAAAAGTGCGCTCCTAATACTTGTAGGAGGTAGCAAATAAGGTTTTAAGGAAAGAGTGTTTCGCTCGACTCGTGCTAACCACCAACCCGAACCTACACCGTATCCGTTCGTCCTTTCCTTCTCAATATTTCTACAAAATAATAATCCTTTTTTCGTAGGATTATTATTGAGTTTTACCAACAGATATCCAACATGAAGATGCTCATGGTATCTCTTGAAGGAGGGAAATGCTTATTAACATAGATTAAAATTTTGTTAGAAGTTTGTTTAGTCAATTATTTAGCTTGAAAGACCACCTTCAGTTGTAAACTGCTTAAAATAATTTTAATGGGAAATTACATGTCCA